TCTCTCTCTCTCTCTCTCTCTCTCTCTCTCTCTCTATACTATATATATATATATATATATATATATATATATATATATATATATATAAAGAAAGGAAGAGACAGAGAAATGGTATAAATCTGAAGAAGTTATCGCTTCAATTGATGAATATTGTAGAGGTTGGAAGGTCTCAACCCCACGGTGAGGTTGAAGTAATCCAAAGTCTTCGCCCACTTGGTGTCGTTCTTCAGCTTGTGCACCGCAATGGTGTCCGGGATGAAGTCGTGACTCCAACATGGCGTCGGCTCTTCGTAGTAATCGTACATCCTGGGGTTCATGTCGAACCTGTTCTTCCCCAGGGATGCATCCCTCAGCCAGCTCGCCAGTACCACGTCCTCGCCGTGCGGCGGAAGGGTCTTGTGGTTCCGCGGGATCTCCGACCTTGCGATCCACTCCACCAAGTCCCACGACAGCGCGTACGCCATCCCCGTCATCCATCCCATCCGATCCGTAATGTTCTTGCAGGGGATGAACAACCCCATGTACAGATCCTCCCTCGGCATCCCGTCCAACGTCTTCGCCAACGCATCCAGCCGTATGTAGGTGTCGTCGTCCGCCTTCAGCACGTAGTCGTAAGCCGTTTCGCCGCCGGTGCTGCCGTTGAAGACCCCCGGGAGGTTGGAGAAGTACGTGTAGGTCTTGCCCTCGTTCATGTTCTCCTCGCAGTCGAGGATCATGATGTCGCCGTGGCGCAGGATCTCGATGGCCACCAGGACTCGCTGCTCCTCTGTGGTAAGGCCGCAGAGGACGAAGCGGATGTCGATGCGGGCATTGACGGTGAGGTTGGGCTGGAGGAAGTAGGCGTCGCGGAGGAGGTGGCGGCGCTGGTAGGAGTCCGGGACTGTGAGGACGCCGATGAGGATCCGCAGCTGGGGATCCGGGGCCGGCAAGGCCACCGGATCGAGGAAGTTGGTGGAGCGCAGGCGCCGGGGCTCGCATCCGCCCGCGACGAGGGACTGGAGCTGGAACTCGTTGGGGTAGACGGCGAGGAAGACGAAAGCTGTGAGCAGCATCGAGAGGATGACGAAGGCTGCGGTGGATGCATTCGAGAGGGGAATCCTCGGCGCAGGGGGGTGAAGCTTCTCCATTGCCAATGGTGGCAGCCCAAACGCTGAAGAGCTAATTATATATACATGACGATCGACACGCCCACGGCGCTCGGCCGTCGATCTTGGCTATCTTAATCATAATCCTGAGATCACAGCCGTCAAATAAGATTGCCACTAAAAGGTTAACGTGGTGTATTCTGGTCAAAGACGAACACAAACGCTACGTGAGGACGACGAAGTGGGCATGCTGAGTTTTTCTCATTCTATTATATTGCTGTTGCCGGCGGTGGTCGTGTCAGATTGAAGCTGCGATTGGAAGAAATCTGTGTGGTGCAGTATGTGAATCCAAAATCAAAAGTATGATGTATAATATATAATTAAAGAATGAAACCAGATTCCATTTCATGTTTGTGGTCTATTTGCAGCCTTGGCACGCAAATCCATTGTCGGTTTTTCTGATTGTTTTTCATAATATGTTTTGATTTTTTTTCGTCGAATAATATTTCTAATTAAATAATATTTAAAATATTTCTTGCAACTCTAATGATATTTTTTGAATCGTTATAGTTGTAAGGTAACTTCATGTCATGGTAGAGTTGTCAGCACGACTTGGTCCATTCCGAGTGTGCAAGAATGTTAATGTGGTATCTTGGTCGGAGAAGGTCGACTCAAGACTATGTCGGGACGTCGTTCGCCTGATCCACCCGAGGTGGAGCTAGGGGTCATTTCTTTTTTTCGGTGGGCTCCTACACACGGGTCGAAGTCGATAAAGGATTTCCCGACTCGATCCATTCGATAGTTAAATTAGTAAATAAAGGATTTTGAGAGTATTCGAGTGTTTGATGTCCGACCTTCTTGGTGTAATATTCGATGGTTAAGTTATTGAACGTCATTGTATGCAACTGCTTGATGGCCGCTGACAAGTGGTCAGCCCCGTACGCCTGGTGCAGGCTTAGGCCGACCTCTCCGGTTTTGCACTACGCGACACCACCTTGCACTTCCTAATCGCTTAGTACCGGGCGATGCTACTCCATACAGCCTTGAGCAGTGCGGATGGATTATTCTATCGTAGTCCCTGCTCGGGCATCGGGTTGACCGAGATGTAACTAAGGCCCAGATAGGCCGTGGAGTGGGTTGGACACCTTGGGCTCATCTACTTCTTGCCTTGACGGGCCTTCTTATTTCCTCGATCTGCTTAGAAGGGTAACTCCTGGTGGGGCCTCTTGTGCAACTCCTCATGTTGTCCGGTCTTGCACTGTGCGACACCGCCTTACAATTCTTGAGTCGCTAAGTATTGGGCACCATCGCTTCGTACAGCCTTTAGCGGCGCGGGAGCAATAGGCCGATGACACAAATGACATGTGACTATCTCATATAGATCCGATGTTGAGTCGACGCACCGCATCGGCTCTGGAATGCCACGCTAGCTTCGTCGTGGCGGACGATGTACTTCGTGGGATTGATGTCAGAATATGCCAAATCAATAGTATTTTTATTTGGATCATTTATAGTTTTTTTATTGAGGTGCTAAAAATAACATAAAGCTATTGAAAAAAAGGGTAAGTAAGATAAACCTTTTGGAAAAAATACATTTTTATTTGAGGGAAATCGCCGTTGTCTTTTAAGATTGGAAAAGACTCGGCCGAATCAATTCGGAGTCATTTTACGTTCAATAGAAACACATATACAGAGAGACGAGAGAGAGACGCGGAAAAGAAATAAGAGGGGCAATCCTGTCGGTCAATACGGTGAGAGATCTGAAGTCTCGAGATTGTGTGTCACGTTGAAGTACTGCAGCGTCTTCGCCCACTTCATGTTGTCCTTCAGCTTGTGGACGGCGATGGTGTCGGGGATGAAGGCATGGCGGAAGCAATTGTCCGGCCCCTCCGGGTAGTCGTACATCCTTGGGTTCGTGTCGATTCTGTTCCGCCCTCGACCTGCCTCGTTCATCCACACCCCCACCATGATGTCCTCCGGCCCCATCATCTTCCTCCTCGCCAGCTCCGACGTCGAGATCCACTCCACCAGGTCCCATGACAGCAGGTAGCCCATCCCCGACATGAATCCTTCCTCTGTTCTGTGGCAGGGGACGCGGAGCCCCAGGTAGAGGTCCTCCCTCGGCAGCGTTCTCAGCGTCTCGGCCAGGTTGCCCAGCCGGTAGTATGTGTCGTCGTCAGTCTTGATGACGTAGTCGTAAGGCCGCCGGTCGTCGGCGCCGCCGAGAGTCCTCGGCAGGCTGGAGAAGTAGTTGTATGTCTTGCCGTCGTTCACGTTCTCGGTGCAGTTGAGGATCATGATGTCGCCGTAGAGCATGATCTCCATGGCCACCAGCACCCGCTGCTCCTCCTTGGTGAGGTTGCAGAGGACGAAGCGCACGTCGACGAGGGCTTTGCCGATGAGGCTGGGCTGCTGGAGGAGGTAAGCGCGGCGGACGAGGCTGCGACGCTCGTAGGCGTCGGGAACGGTGAGGACTCCGAGAAGAATCCGGAGGTCGGGACTCGGGGGGGAGGGCGAGGCCACGGCGCCGACGAACCTGGGGGCACGCAGAGGTCTGGGTTCGCACCCGCCCGTCACGATGGACTGGAGCCGTAGATCATTAGGGTAGACGACCAGGAAGATGACAGCTATCAGCGACACTGTAAGGAGGAGGACGAAGGCGCCGGTGGCTGCTCTGCTGACGGAAATCGCAGGGAAGGAGATCTTCTCCATGGTCGAGAGCTGGAAGCAATTAGAGTTGTCATATACGTGATACTGGACATGAAAGAGTAGGTAGAAAAGGCCAAAGGAAGCTTCGTTTTCTCCGTGTCTTGTCTTCCACGCTAACTCGGCATATAAGAATATTTCTCGTGACACTATCCGTCTTTAAGAATCGTAGTGAGATGATTAACCACGCCTATTGGGGTAGAAGACTCACGTTCATCATGCTCTGACTAGGGAGGAGAGAGAACTGGCCTGAGTTCCTTGAAATCAGTGACCTCGTTCGAGGTTTCCACGTCCATCTCATTGACCAGTGAATCATGTGGCAGCTCAGAACTGCTCTGTGGGCTTCACCCATGGATGAGACATTAAAACAAACACATGGAGGAAGGTTCTTTGATCGAGTTCTTCGTATAGGGCTCTGTTATATATATAGAGCTTTGGTAAGTGGGAAAGCACATGCCAAGGCTTTCGAAATTGGATCCCTGTGACATGTCTCCCTAAGTATGCCACCACAAGCCAAAGGAATTGCGGACTCATCCAATTATTTTTGTGATTGGATACTACATATATCATGTTGGTTTGGGTCGTAATCAAGTTGATGCGTGAACGATTGAATGAGTTGGACTTTTATGATCGAGTGGGCCAAACGGTCATATTCAATAATGGAATTGATTGAAAATGTAATGTTTTAGATTTCTTTCATAATAATTTTATTTTCTACCGACCATGCACGTTATTAGTGTTCGAATCAGTGGCTTAATGTACAGAATCTAATCTTTTATCCACATGGAATGATTTCTGAGACCTCATCTCGGTTTATTGACCACATTATTGGATCAGATACCGATTCTCATCGGTAATGGTTCCTCATAGCGGATCTACGAGCTTATTAGTTTTGGGTTTAGATGGATCCGAACCAAATCCGACCCGTTAACTCCACGTACAAAATCCTCAATCCGCCAGTCGTTGATGTCACCAATCAGCTGCGAGGTTTCTTAATCGAACGGAGAGAAACGCTTACACACGGATCCTAAATTCATCCGACGGTTGCTGCAGCGCTTGCTGCTTTCTATATATTGAAGCCGCTCGATTTGGTAGACCGCGTCGCTTCCGGTTCTACGCAGCAGAGAAAGAGTTTGCGATCGGCGGCCATGTCGGGGCGGGGTAAGGGAGGAAAGGGGTTGGGGAAAGGCGGCGCGAAGCGGCACCGCAAGGTCCTCCGCGACAACATCCAGGGGATCACCAAGCCCGCCATCCGTCGCCTGGCGAGGAGGGGCGGCGTCAAGCGTATCTCCGGTCTCATCTACGAGGAGACCCGCGGCGTGCTCAAGATCTTCCTCGAGAACGTCATCCGCGACGCAGTCACCTACACCGAGCACGCCCGCCGCAAGACGGTCACCGCCATGGACGTCGTCTATGCCCTCAAGCGCCAGGGCCGCACCCTCTACGGCTTCGGCGGCTAGACGGAGCCGTCTTTTCGCGTACGGGGTTTGGTGAAGTGCTTGCCTACTTGGATGAGTTAGGGCTTTATTTGTAACCTACATGTTCCTTGTTAGCATGGAAGTCGTTAGATGCTGCTCCTTTTAGACATCTCTTGCTGTTCATACTTTGTCGTCTTGTCTTCTTCGTTCGATGAAACACTTATTCGGATCTCATGCTGAAGCATATTTGTTTGATTGTGGGCTATGCTATGATTGTGTCTGTTCTTCTAGCTTCGAGAATAATGCGATTATAGGTACATAATTAACGCTATCAACATGAAGATTATTATGCACAGTCTCGTGGTTTACTTTTCATGTGTAAGTCATGGGTGATCTGTTGTCTGTTTTAGCTGAATATATATGGTTCTTTGACAGCATTTTTCTTCCTTCGTAATTGATAGGATACTTTCTTTTAAGCAAATTTTGAAGCGATGTGGTTTGTTGTGTGAGGATGTGTGGTAGCATGCGACAGTGATCATACACGATCGAATGAAGAAATGTCTTTGTATGAACTTGATTGAACAGATGTTGTTTTATCTAGTTTTGAGTGATTTTGATGCGTTTAGGGTTGAACTGTGTTATGAGGTGTTAGTATCTATTTTTTCTTAAGACTGGAAGTGTAGATGGTTGCTTGAGAAGTTATTGCTGAATGCAACAATTCTCATAGAGTATGGTATTTTTATGTTTTGGGAGAACTGGGCAGCTTTGTGATGGATATGGTGATGCAGAGTTTTACATGGTAATGAACACTGTTGAAATATAAGTTGTGCAATTCTTGTGAAGGTAGACAATAAAAAATTATATTGGTTCACAAGGATGATTCTTGAACACTTTGTTTTTATGTTCTGCATGGTTGGAAAGTCTCATGTGCTCCTCATATGACTGCAGAAAATTTATATTTGCTCCCCGATATGAAAGCAGATATTTGCATATGCATTCAGACTTTCTATTAGTTATTTCCTTGAAATTAAGGTTCTGCTTGTTTTTAAGGAAGCTAATGTTTCTGTGTTTGTTATCAACCATCAGGGGTTAGACAAATGAAATTGTTGGGAGTTAAATTCATGCTATTGCTAGAATTATTTTTCTTGTCTATGATATTTCTACATTACTTTCAATTTACATTATCATTGTGTATGTAGCTGTCGAAATATACCTCTTGTTCTTGTATTAGCCAAGAAAAGACTAGCTTGTTGAAGGGGTTCATGAAATTTGATTTCCTTCTCACATTTGTTGGTACAAGGATAGTCTCTTGAGCTTCAATGTCCAGCTGATGCAGAAAGAGAAAATTAGGTGGCTTCGACATGCATAACATCAAAAGTATTGACAGATGAGGGCACTGCATTGCAGGAAGAGGTGACAAGTATAATCCCAGATTAGTGACAACTTGTTGTCTCAGCTGAATGCCACAGTGAACGTACGCTTGTGATACCCATTGTTGTTGTTTGTCACTTTTTAGGTTCAAAACTTACAGATATGTTATGTAATTACAAGAAAGGTAATGGATTCCCTTGACTGATCGCACTAAGATGTAAAACATTAATTTTAATCATGATATGGAAACAAGATCAGGTTTAGATTCAAAGAGAAATGTCAGGTTTAGACTCGGAGAAATGTAGCAGTGGTCTGATACAGATGCAGAAACTAGTAGCAGGGAATGTTCAATATGTTTCAGATGATTCTTTATGTATTTAATGATTCACTGCGTGTTGTATTGATCATGTTGAAGCTCTTATTGAATTTACATTTTCTTGTAGGAAATTGATGAGTAATAAAAGGAGACCCACCAATCTATTGTAATGGAATTTGATAGCTGGAATATTGCAAGAATTTGAGGACAAGAACACTTGATGCATTGCACAATTCTTATTAGCCATGCCAATATCTCAGCGATGAGATGATCAAGTTGGTCGCAAGCAAATCTTGACCTGCTTTTCTTGGGATGCTGGGTCCAAAATGAGGTACCTGAGCTAGTGAAAGATTATTTTATTATCCCAGAAATTATTGTTGTTGCAGTGGAAATAATACTTGTATGTTCATCCATTAGATGGGGTGCTATACAGTCTTGCTCTGTATTTTATGGGTAAAAGATCATCCATTAACTGCATGTTCATCATCAACTTGTGTTTTGCTTTAAACTTATCCACAGACTTCTGGTGCTCTAATTTCTAGAGAGGTCATGGACTTCCGCTCAAGTAGAGGTACTTGATCTCTTGCTCCAATTTATTTATTATGTTTGATACCATTCAACCTTTAGATTTATATTCTAATTCAACAATTACGAGTACTCTTGGTTTGGGTCCAGATCTGATGTTGCTTGCTTCCTTTCCAATGATGCAGGCCACCACTTCTTTGTTGGATATTGAGCCAATGTAACCTGAGGCATGCATCTCATTCCAAGATCTCATTACTTGAGATCACAACTGTTGGTGTTTGACTTTATTACAACAGATGAGCATCCTGTCACCTTCCCAAGTATATATAAACTGTCATTTCTAACTACTATTCCAGTCCAGTCGCGTAACCTAATAAAGAGAAGCAATGTCAACTGCATGCAGGTGAAGGTGAATTTTATAGGCTTTCACTGGTGAGAAATAGTTGTTGCAAACTATTTGTTGGATCAGAAACAATCTCAAGACTGTACGACAGTGCAGTGAAATCTGATGCCAGAACTTTTATTTTCCAAATTTATCATTGTAATTTATATTTGCTAAAATCTCCGTAGCATATGACTCTGCAACGTTCAATTTCAAGTAATTGGCTTTCACAGATATCTGAAAATGAAAGTTGCCTTAAATCTTAATCCTATTTGGTAGCGATGGGAGGTTAATTATATATTATCCTTTGTAGTTATATATTTTTTTTAATATTTTAATATTTAGATTTAAAAAAGTTATATTAAAATTTTTATAGTTATGAAAGTGGTATATTTGATTTTATTTATTTTTAAAGTCGTTGGTTTTATTAATGGATGATACACGAGATAATATAATAACATGTATATGAATGATATGAGAATGATAAATAAAATGATAATTTTAATGGTAGTGATAGATGGTGGTGTCATGGTTGGTTGTTGTGGAGGTGATTAACGAGGTGTCATGGTTGGCTGCTGTGGAGGTGATTGACGAGAATAATACAATGGTCAGTTTTGATGTTAATTTGAATATCAACACAACAAGAAGGAAGAGGAGGCAGAGCGATGAGATATCGTGTTGGAGGAGGAAGAGGTTGCATCGTTGTGTCTCCTCTTTCTCCTCATCAGTGTTGCATCGTTGTGCCTCCTTTTTCTCCTCTCTCCTCTAGTGTTGTTTTGTATCTATATTGATGAAGAAGAGGAAGCAAGTGAGGTATTTGCGTCACCAACTACAAGGAGTGAGAAGGAAGAGGAGGCAAGTGAGACATCTGTGTCAACGTCAAGCTTTGCCTCTTCTTCATTCTCATCGACCACCGCATTGTTTGGTATGGTGTTACATTGTCTCCTCTTCGTTCTCAATGACCATCACATCATTCGGTGTGACATTGCACTAACTCCTCTACATCGACATCTCATTACTTTGTCTCATCTTTATTCTTATCGACTATCGTATCGTCAGAATAGGAGGAGGTAGAATAGTGCCACATCGGTACAAATGCATCTTCTCTTCCTCCTTCGGTGTTACATCGTTTTGTTTTTTCGTCGTTCTCGCTTGTATCGTTCAATGTAGCATCGTACTTCCTCCTTTGCGTCTGTATTGCTTCACTCTACCTTCTCTTTGTTCTCATCAACTATTACATCGTTGGAAGAGGAAGAGGAGGTGGCGCGGTACGACGTCGATGTACCTCACCTGCCTCCTTTCCCTATTTTGGCATCGCACTACCTCTGGCTCATCATTTAATGTAGCATTGTACTACCTCCTTTGTGTTGGCATATCACCACTCTATCTTCTCTTCTTATTAACCATCGTATCATTGAAATAGGAAGAGGAGGTAGAGCGGTACTGTGTTGACTCAAATGTCTCACATCATTCCTCTTCCTCCTCCGGTGTCGATACAAATGCATCATTACTTTGCTTCATATTCTTCGTTGTTGTCGATGTTCGGATCGACATCAACAAGGTCGACAACTACATCATTTTCGTTGACCACCGCTACAATAGTCACCCATGATGTTATCATTTGTTATTATCATTAAAATTATATTTTTATCTATCATTTTTATGTCGTTCATACTTGTATATTATATTTTTTTATCAATAAAATTAATGATATTATGATAAATAAAATTAAATATTTTTTTTATAATTATAAAAATTTTAATATAAATTTGTAAATAAAAAACAAATATTATAAAAGATCTAACTATAAATGCTAATATGTAGTTAACCAAGCTGTCAATTGTTACGACCCCGAGAGATTTGTTGAACGAAGCACGTGCCAAGGATCTTAGCAATAGCAGAAGCGGAGGTAGACCAAACATGACATGACATGAGATGACACGAGCCAAGCGTGCGGTCCCGTCTCGCCGGTCTCTTCTTCGCTTGCGTTTTCTGTTGTCACTCTCGAGAGTTCATTACTCCCAGCTGGAAACTTGGTTGGGCACATGCGAGCGATTAGCTCGTAACAAAGTCGCCATCCACCGAGAAGAAGAGAACAAAACTTGTAGCTTAACATCACAGCCAAAGACATGTGAGCACTTCAATGAGTATAGTTAAAAGATGGAACAGTGTTGGCCCTTCGTTGTCCTCTCCTGTTGCTACTACACTTGAGAATCAAGTAAGCCTTTCGAGCCCGATCAGATGTCATGACATGCCCACAGTGAGATGATCATCCCGAAGGGACAGTAAGAGAGTCAAACGGCGAAGCGTTCGGCGGCCGCTGCGGCATTACAAGAAGAAAGGGCACCGACGTCTCTTTCACGCCTTCCCTCCAATCCCCAGAAGAACACAGTACAAACACCCATCACTTCCATCTCCCCCACCCACAAGCCCTCATCATAGCAACGGCATCGTCTTCTTTCTCGCTTGCAAGCAACCACGGCGCTGCCTTTAGAAAATATTGCTACGCACCAAAGCCTCACTAGAAAGACATATAAGCATTCAATTCACACCCTTTACTCTTCTTTCGACAGTGTGGTAGTTGCACATAACTACGACATTTCACCCCGTTAATCTCTCTCTCTCTCTCTCTCTCTCTATTATTTAGGTGGGGGGGAGGGGTGGCAGCTAGGAAGCAAGGCCTGGGTTCAGCGACGAGGATGAGCGGGGTTGAGTTGCACCATGCAGCGCCGAAGCGTCGGTGGGACGAGCAAGGGACCCTGCACCCCGGCGCCGCTCCCTTCCATCAGCGGTGCGGGGATGTCGGTGCGGCCGCAGCGCCTGCTCAGCCCCCTCGCAGGAAGCTCTTGTCGCTCTCGGCCATGGACGACGAGGCGGCTGCGTCGGTCATCCCCCCGGTCACCGTCGTCCTTGAGGGGCGCTCCATCTGCCACCGCATCTACCTCGACCAGCACACCAGCTACGAGAGCTTGGCGAAGGCCTTGCGTCGCATGTTCGTCGATTTCGATGGGGGCGACGGACATGGAGACGGGGGAGACCAGGAGCTGCAGCTGGCCAACGCAGTACCTGGCTACATGGTGGCCTACGAAGACATGGAGGACGACCTGCTCCTCGTGGGTGACCTTAACTGGAAGTGAGTCGATGTATCTGTTTCATTCTTCCTCCATAAACACAAACATCGCCATGATCTTTCCATTTCCTTGTTCCCATGTTTTCAGGGATTTCGTTCGTGTAGCCAAGAGAATCCGAATAATCCCTGCAAAGGCCGGTCGTCGGAAACACTGTGGAGGGCAATAGAAGAAGATGTCGACTTTTGTTAAGATATACATGCATTAAGTTTAGATGTCAACTGTTAAGAGCAGTACTTGATGTCTCTCTGTGGTTTACTCGAACTGTGTTTAGTGCTTTTCTGCTTTGTCTCTATCATTGTAGTCGTAAACATGCTTCTATTTACTTCGGTCAATGGCATAATGAGACAACCGGCATTGAAGTATGAGATTATTCTTCACATTGCTCCTATCAGTATTGCTGGATATATATATAACTTCTATTTACTGCATCATAATTATTAACTATTTTTGAAAATTGGACTTCCATAATACATAGATCTATCGATGAAACTTCATATTTTGAAGGAGTTTACGTAATATTTGAGGGTTTTAGAGGAGTACATTAGATATCATCTCTACAAGACAAATCAGTGCTAACTATTGTGAGCATGTGATCCACATAGACAGCTTAATGTATGTTGCTAAAGTTTTGGCTTTGGCTACCACTTGGTAGTACATCCAATTAAATGCAATTAATTCCCCATGTCTCTTGTGTTTTCAGATCACCAATGTGTGTGGTTGTGCTGACTAACTTCATCTTACAAATTGGCTGGAAATATTACCTCATATATGAGCTTATAGATGACCACTAATTAATGTACAATTGTTTCTACATGACACCAAGTTTCATCATCTTTTTTTGATGCGAACAGTGATACATATCATTGAGGTTGTCAAGTTCCCTTTGTCCTTTGCTATGTTGATGTGTCAACTACCCAGTCGAGAGCCTTTCTTCTTCTTCTTCTTCTTCTTTTGCATCATAGTGGCCATCATTGTCATGAAACAATCCACGTGAGCTTCTGTTTGATGCTAAACATGCATTATATATGTTAGAAAATATTGATGTATAAGACGAAGAAAGATACAATGAAATATAATTTTATATTACTAAAGATCGAAAGAATCATGTTATCTATATTAAGTTTGATTCACATTCACAATCCGACAAAAACAAGTGCTGTGTTTGGTAATTCGATTTATATTTTTTAATGGAGCGGATATCTGATTGGATGTTGGATCCGATAATATAGTAGGGTCCGGATCCGAATCAGACGACCACAGTAGAAACCGTATGACTGTAGTCGTAAAATTTCTATTCAATCGGCCGGTTTAGATTTGGGCCCAATTAAATGAGCCGGTCTAGCATTGACCGGGTCGATTGAACCCTAAATTCGTGTTGAAAAGGCCGGTTTATTTGGCGAAGCCCAATTAATCGGTCTGGTTTTTTACACTGTATGAGCCCACGGCGGGTAGGAACGCGAAGCGTTGGAACCCTAACTCGAGAAGAACCCTCCTCCGTCTCAATTGCAAGGCGGTAAACCCTAAGAAAGATCGGGTCTTTCCTCTTCTCGTTGGTTGTTCGTCCGTCCCTAGAAGCTTCACGTTTCCTCGCAAATGGCGGTTAGTTTCTTTTCCCCCTTGTCTCTTTCTCTGTTGTCCCTTTTCCGGTTTGAGATTACATACCAGACTGTAGATGGCTACGTAGGTTCAAGACATTTCGAGGTTCTCTTGATGGCATCAGAAGCTTTAGGTCTATAATTTGGTTTGTTTCTGGAGATCTCCCACCCGGGAATCTCAGATTCAGTCAAAATCTCTTCTGTGAGCAAGAACATTTTATGATGAGAATGGGAAGTTAGATTTGTGTAGTTGTCCGGTTTGAAGTCTCAGCTAGTTTCCATGCATATGTAATTAAAGGTCCATAATTGACACTAGAAGAAAAATATTTTGATATTTGGTGCCAATTGATGCCAAATATGTAGAGAGTTGGATTTTAAATTTCTTGATGCAGTCCTAGAGCTTAGTAATACAGAAAGAACATCGCACACTTAATTTAAATCTTTTATTCTTCTCTTTCTTTCAAAAATTGTATTCTGTTAAATATACTGTAGTTGTTGTAGCATAATTCTTATGTCATCAATATTGCTATATGCACTTTTATATGGGCAAAAGGCGAAACAAATTTCCAGATAGTAAAAAGGAAATGCGGCTACTATTCTATCCCAAGACATATACATTGGCTAGCTAAGAAGCACGGAATATGGACACGGGACATGGGCCACGGGACATACCTATTTGTTGAGGTCAAGTCGTCCAGGGTGTCCGTGTTGTGTTCGTGTCCCGTGTCCATATTCCTTGCTTCTTAGCTAGCCAATGTATATGTCTTGGGATAGAATAGTAGCCACATTTGGTCCATGCAAGGTTGCAGGTTGCTCTTTAACGGTTCTGGGATTGTCAAAAATTTTTCGACAGTGGCACCCATCTGCAAATGAACCCCTTTGCTGATCGTGATCTAATATGAAGAATGGTTCAGTTCTTACTCTCTCTGATCAAATCATGACATTGGTCATTTTTCCAATGTACAATTCAACTTATTTCGTTTAGGTTTATTACAATACTTAATATGCCAATGATCTGCTTCTCCAGATGAAATTTAAAGAGTTAATGCTTATGTTTTAGGTCATATGGGTCTATTTTTATTATGGTCAAATCGACAAGGTTCCATACCTTGCATTGGCAGGAACCTTGTGCACTTGGTTCACCCTTTTCAAGATTATTCCTCTAATCATATTCTTTGGTGACACGAGAAATCTTCTGGATAATTTTCTAAACATGATAAGTTTAGAAGCCCTAGATTTTATTCATCACTGAAGTTTGTGATTGTAGGATCCATTAGATGTAATTTTTATCTCAACTTGGGGCCATGATTTCATACAAATTTTATCATGATGGGGATATATCATTGCAAAAAATAATTGGCCTTCAACAATAAATTCGTAGTAAGTGCGAGTCATTAGTTCATATTGATTGCATAATTGCTCTTTGTACGCATCGTTTGTCTCTTACTTCAATAGACCAATCATTTATGATCATACCAGTGGACTCTGATACGCTAATCAAAATTTAACATTTATTACCTAGGTATATACCATACTTTATGGGCAGGCTATATGTACCACTTTTGTTGACCTTATTACAACATAAAAAATCTAAAGTCACCAATTTTTCATGTTTATTATTGCAGACTGTGCCAGTTAACCCAAAACCTTTTCTGAACAATTTGACTGGGAAGCCTGTGATTGTGAAATTGAAGTGGGGAATGGAATACAAAGGTAATTTAGATGCATATCATCTTGTTTGAGCCATTGATATGCTTTTGTTTTTCCAACAAAATCATCTATATTGTCAATTTTCTGTCTGTGTTATCTCAGGTTATCTCGTGTCAGTAGATTCCTATATGAACTTACAGGTATTAAACAAATTTCATCAGTTCATAACAAAATGGCATATCTCAATGCTTAGATGTTATTTATTTTCTTGGTTTTCGTATAGTACGATTGGCAAACAAGATGATTGCTTGAACTGATGATACTAGATTCGGAATGAGATGGTTTACCGACATCTGCTTTAACTCTGTTATCATTTTACTGTAGTTGGCCAACACTGAAGAATACATTGATGGGCAGTTCACTGGAAACTTGGGGGAGATTTTGGTAAGGTAACGAAGTTGTGCATATTCTGCTGTTGGGTACAAGCAGTAGGCAGCTCGTGCATCTTAAGAGTAATAACACGAGGAATGATGTAAACTATTACTTCATTTTATTGCTTTGCATTATATGTAACTCAAAAAGGCATGATGAACTAGTTGTAACCTTAGATGCAAAGCATAAATCCGATCACACACTTAATGTCATCTGTCTCTCTAACCACATTTGCATTATCAAGAACAAGTTTGCTGATATTGATCCTTGGAAATCATGACTATGGTGCCTTTTGTTTCGTTCGCAGGTGCAACAACGTTCTGTATCTACGCGGTGTACCAGAAGATGAAGAGATTGAAGATGCCGAGTGAGCATGAGCAAAAATTTCATGGATTTCGGTGAGCCACTTCTGTTGGCCTCATTTGGCACTCAAACGTGCACTTAGCAACTAATGTATACTCATCTAAAGCTCATTATAATTTTCTTGTTTGTATTCCCTTTGTGATGGATGCTTGTAGGTCACTTCTTGGTTCAGTCTCTTATCCATAAGCTTTACTATCATCTCATAATTGTGCCCTTTAAGAAGCTTTTACCATCTGCAGGATTCTTTTTTTTTTTGTAGTTGTATTTTAGCTAAAATTTGATCACATCTTTTATCCTGTGTAAATTCATTATTAGGCAATGATAAGTCCTACCACTAATTAATTAATGGGACGTGTCACAATTATTGCATTTCATTTATTGAGTGTCCTTTTTTAGGTGCTTCATCTGAGGTTTGAATCTATATCAAAGAATAAAGAATTTTGCTGAGGGAAAATAGAATTTTAAGAATGTTATGTAGACTTTAAATTAGTGTCCAAACCAGAATAATGAGACCCTTGAAACCGATATTACATGTGTGCTAGCAAAAGAACCCGTCCTACACACCTCATAAGCTTTAAAGAGCTCCCAAGACGTAGACTCCCATGACAAGCCCCATGACTGCATCGACAATAGTTCTCGTCGCCGAAGAAGGTTTGTCTGAGCCACTCGGTGCTTCTGTTGATTTTGCATGTGATGAAGTTGTGTCCGCATCTGCATTCTTGCCGTCGACGGGTGACGCTGCGCTTCCCGTCGGACCCTCGATGGGAGCCGCAACAGTGGGACTCGACTTTGGAGCTCCCGTGGGCGTCGTTGCGCTTCCTGCTGGGCCCTCGACGGGAGCTGCAACAGTAGGACTCGACTTTGGAGCTCCTGCGGGAGCGCTAGGACCTGTCTTCTTCCTTGGTGCAATCGTCGGAGCTTGAGCTGGTGCCAACTTTCGCATGGGCGACGTTGTTGCAACACTACCAGAGCCGGATGGCACAATGGCGGCACTGATCCCAAGCACCGAGATGTCGTATGGTCGCACGGCGACCACCTTGTTCAACTCGGAGTTGAGGGGGGCGCCAGGGGCGGCCGAGCCGAATGTCATCTGCTCCCCAGGTAGCTCGGTGTAGTTGAGGAAGCCTAAGCGACCGGTGGCGTGGCCAGAGGCTTGGAAGAGGGTGGTGAGGAGAGCAGTCTTGTTGGGGAGATTATCGAGCGTGTAGGGGTCGTAGTAGTCAAGGATGACATGGACGGAGATGGCATTCTTGAGGGCGTCGCCGGAGAGGGAGGAGAGGGGGGCGATGGCGGAGTCATTGACCACGAGGACGGTAATGGTCTTGCGGCGATTGATTTCATCGGCCACCTTTGTTTGGGTGAGGTACTTGGTGAAGGTGGAGTACTCCGGGAATGGTTGGAGGATCTCGACAATATCCAAGGCGGAAGACGCGGAGGAGACGAAGAGGAGGAGGAAGAGGACAGAGGCATGAGCTCCAAAGGCCATTGTGGCTAAGAATCAGGGTTTGGACTAGCTAGCCACAAGGCTTGCTTGCGATGGGAGCTGTAATGCAAGAGAGGAGGAGCGGATATATATATAGGAGGAAGAGGGAGTTGCTATCGTTGGAGCTGTCTCCCGCCAAACTTGGAGAGGTGGAACATTTGGATGGTGGAGAGGCAAATGCTGTTCTTTGTGATCGAGTTGTTCTGCACGAATACATATCGATCGGTTTGACTTGGTATTAGCAATATTTGAAGCAACGGTATTGTGTAAGCACAATCAACTTCGATGATCAAAATGGTGATGCTGACTTTGACATCAATGACACTTCACCTACCAAGAAAAGTGTGCTTTCATTAGTCACATGAAGCTTCTACATTAGATATTCGAATGAATATTTACTGATTAACCCGAGTCACATTCCACTTGGAATCTCCAACATAAGTTGCTAGCCAAATCGTAGTCCAACTCTATAATTTTCTAGTGATGTGATGCGAGTTTAATCTCTAACACACTCTTATCCATATCGTTATCTTCAACATACATCATTAAAAGGCATCTATCACGCAATGAGTTGTCTCACATATCTACTAGTGTGCTATACATTATAAACTCTCTATAACTACTCCCACAGAAGTCCACTTTAATCTCTCCATCTAAATATTGATGCTCTGTTTAAAGAAAGAGTGGGTCGTAGTCGGAGATGAAGGCCCAAAGGATTAGCAACCACGCAGGCGACTTAATTAAGCCTTGGAATTTTAGGTATTTGGGGGGTATCAGTCAATTATTGTGATGCTAATACCAAATATCTTACACATCGATGACCATCGAATGTCATGTAATGTTATGTTAGTTCGCGTAATGTTATGTTAGCTCGATACATAAATCATAGATCGATCGACGCTTTATTGGATTATAATTAATGTTCGATAACATCCGACGACGACTCTATGAAATTGTTTTCACCGGATAACTCTCCCATTAGGTGTCGATGATTATCAGAATCATCTATAAAAGAACTTCAGTTCATTTGTTCGAAGAAGTATATATATATATATATATATATATATATATATATATAATCACCGATATACTTGTGTTTTAACTTAAGCATCAAAAAAAGCGTAGGACTTCCAACCCGAATCCATTTGTTAACCCAAAACTTTATGAGATACCTCAATACACATCGAACAATCGAAAACTATATCAACAAATGTGATGAATTGTTCCACCATCGTCATCGTCATCGTCCTCATCATCGTATAAGACTACGATACACAATCATGTTGTTTTCGGAGTTATTATTGTACTGCAACAAACAATTTGCACTAAAAAAAAGGACAATCGTCTCATGCCAAGCTTGTTAATTAAGTGATCAATAATGGATGTGACACCCAATACATCGTTAGTGTTACTCATCTCCACCTCGCGATGCAATTTGGTGGCGTTGCTTTCGATTCCAAACAGTGACAGATGACCGGACTTTGAATCCTTCATCATCGATCGGGGAGAACACGAAGCAGCAGTAGCGACGTTAAGCAGCGGTTGGTCTGTCGTCACGTCGCTACACGCCGTCTAGTGTTGGGGTAGCTCTACCGTAACTTTCCTTTCCATGGGTCGATCAGGGCCGTTGGTTTCCTGACGGTCAGGATTTATCGACCGTCGGATCTTGACGTTCGTCAGCCACAATCGATCCAATGACTGATTTAATTTTCTATGTGTTCTTATTATACAATTGACGAGAGAAGATTTATACGTATCGGTTGATCGATCGATTCATCAAATGACACATTGGTCACATTCTTTGACCCAACCTTCGAGACTAATAAATCATGTTGAGAGATAGTTGTTGGATCTATTTTGCCACTACGATTACTTTGAAATATATAAATATTTTATTATCCTCTTTAGAGATACATTATAATTAACGTGATAGGATAGACAAGAGAGAAGAGGCAGTGTAACTCGATCGTCAATCTCCTACGATAAAACACCTTCTAATTAACTCGAACATCAATCACCACCAAGTCTCTCAAACTTTCGACGATATCTTTAAGGAAGTCCGAATTCTTCACGAACTCGTCCATTGCATATCGGTAAGGATTAGAAACACGAAAAATCGTGTCCCCTTCTCGTGGTAGGGGAGAAATGATATGAGGAGAGAACAAGTACGAGAAGAGAAGGCTCAACAGTTAAACGCAATGAGCATTTAATGGTGGAGGTCCCAAAACATTAAACCGGCATTGAAGGCTTGCATCGTTGGGGGTTACTCTTGTCATGCTTTCATCTATTCGTACGGTTTCCCAACCCACCTCCCATCTATCTATCTATCTATCTACATTTACACCCTTATTTAACTCATTCCATCCCACAAAAAAATTTCTCTCAACTTCTTTAAATTTTTAGAAAGAAACTTATAAGATATGCAATATATATATATTCTCATCGGATCCAAAACTTTTAGGATTACTTTGTTTGTATAACAATCCTTTCAATCTTGAGAAACCCGAAATCTCTCGCGAATCATAATAGTAAATACAAAAGAATTCTTCTTTTGACCTCCTTATATCTATCGAAAAAAAAATTATATTCTTCTCCGAAAAATACATTCCGTCTATGATTTACTCAGACGTTTTTATTAAAACTAAAAAAAGAAAAGAATAAATAAATAAATAAAGAGTTGGTAGAGCAAGTGATTAGGTGATGGATTCATGGAAGCAAGCATCAACCTGGAGGACAAAGGCTCACACCATTACTCTTTGCGTGGTCCATCGGAACCTCCGTAACACACTCCCTAATCACACCCAAAAGCTTCAAACACGCAACACCGCATTGTTGTCCCTCCATATTACAACCACGTTTCCATCTACTCCTCCACGAAATCAACTCTCATCTCCTCCCATTTTATCTCAACAGCTGTGGACGTGATATGGACGTTCTACCTCTCTCTCTTTCGTCCTCGACTCGCCATCGTTGATGACACCATATTTGTATTGTTATGTTGACGAATTCTCGGAAGTCGATAGGCTTTGTGGTGAGGGAGGAAATGTGGGCATGGATACGATTGTCCAATGAATGAGATCGGACCCATTTGGGAGCCGCCGTTAGCTGTGTGGGGAGCCGTAATTAAGTCCGCCATGGCCCCCTTTCAACCGATCTCAAGCACCCGAGTAATGATCGACTAATTTGGTGGGAGTCATATGTCCAGAGGATTACAACTCTCACTGTGATAAATATATTGTAAGATGATCTATCTTATTTTCCTCGTTAATAGAGCTAAGTAGCAATATATAAATTTGAGATTTAAGATGATCTATCTCTCTCTCTCTCTCTTTGGATGTACGATTACCCTCACATCTAACATGCGAGAGTTGATGAATAGACACAAGCCAATGAGACATTACTTAACGTTAGTCCTTTGTGTCGAGGAAGCTCAACAAAAACATGCGAATCACATTCAGCGATACCATAAGAAATGACGTATATGTAGTGAAGTCTCGATCGATGGGGAGAGAGAGAGAGAGAGTTGAGATTAGGCGGTACGTTTTGTGGTGTCGTCAGGTCTTCGTGTCATCGTTCTGCTCGCACTGTAGGAGTCAGATACCAAATACAAACCATTGCGAATAAATGCTTCCTTTGTATCCTTCAGAAAGCAAAGCATCTGCGCCTTTTCCTACACGACCGCTTTTAAAGCCATTACACCCTTACCTCCATTCATTTTGATCGTCGCCTTCTCTCCTTCTCTGTTTTGGGTCACCACCTGCGTTCCAACCTTTGCATAGAAGACGGTAGGCGGAGAGGAAGAATGAGGCAGTTGTATACGAGGAGCCGAAGGCTCAAGCGCCTCCTCTCGGTCACTCTTGGAAGAAGGAGCCGAGAAGAAGCGAGCACGGAGGAGGATGACTCCTCTGTTCGGGCCAGTACATTGATGGAGCCTTTGCTTGATGCGAACCCGCCCCTGAAACCCACTTGGAGATGCTTCTCCTATGGCGAAATCCACAGCGCGACCAATGGTTTTCATAAAGGTCTGTTTTTTATGGGATTCGAGGAGTGTTTCGATGAGAATCGCTTGTCAAAATTTCATCTTGTGCTTGTTGCTCCCGGATTTTGTTGGAGCAGATAACTTGGTGGGCCGAGGTGGGCACGCGGAGGTGTACAGGGGAGTGACGGCGGACGGGCAGGCCGTGGCCGTGAAGAGGCTGATGAGGGCTTCCACGGACGAGCAGAGGGAGAAGGATTTCCTGACGGAGCTCGGCACCGTCGGCCACGTGCGGCACCCCAATGTCTCCGCCCTCCTTGGCTGCTGTATCGACCGCGACCTCCACTTGATCTTCGAGTTCTCTTCGCGCGGCTCCGTCTCCTCCAACCTCCACGGTAGTAAGCTCGACGAGTTGCAGAGGTTGCCACGGCCTCAACAACGGATGTGGAGGTGGACTCACATCTGTTCTCTGTGCGTGTTGCAGACGAGAACTCGCCCCCCATGGATTGGAAGCTGCGGCACAGCATCGCCCTCGGCACCGCCAGGGGGCTTCATTACCTCCACAAGGGGTGCCAGAGAAGGATCATCCACAGAGACATCAAGGCCTCCAACATACTCCTCACATCCAATCTCGAACCTCAGGTACCGCTCATAGAACCTTCTCGCTGCTCAATCCGATGACTTCCTGCGATCATGCAACGCGTTCGGTGTCTGAATCCAATCTCAGATCTCAGACTTTGGCCTCGCCAAATGGCTTCCGTCGGAGTGGACTCACCGTGCCGTGGCACCAATCGAAGGGACATTCGGGTACGCATCTCCGTCTTCTTCTTGGATTCAAGAAAGGACCGGCAGCATGTAATGGAGTTTATGACGCCAACAGGTGCTTGGCGCCGGAGTACTTCATGCATGGACTCGTGGGCGAGAAGACCGACGTCTTCGCGTTCGGCGTATTCCTGTTAGAGATGGTATCAGGGAGGAAGCCAGTGGATGGTTCCCACAAGAGCTTGCTCAGCTGGGTAAGACCCAGGATTCCTGTGCCTCATTCACTCTGTTCCTCTAGTTCATGACCTGATCTTTCGACAAACTCGCATCTTTTTTGCAGGCCCGACCTTTCCTAAAAGATGACACGATACAGATGCTGGTTGATCCAAGATTAGGAGAAGAGTACGACATGGGGCAGCTGCGAAGGCTCACCTTCGCGGCCTCTCTTTGCATCAGAGCCACATCAACATTGCGCCCTTCCATGACCGAGGTAAGCTGCAATTGCCGCAACTCAGTTTCTCTCTGCGGCTCTTTCGGTCTTGCACACCAAATCGAACGCTCAGAATCGACTGGGGGCTCACAAGTGTTCTGAGCTCGATACAAAGTAGAACAGCTAAAGCAGTTTTACCATCGAGATTTCTTTGATCCTCTCCTAAAGAATAGTTGATTCTTGCACGAAGCATAATTGCCAGACACTGACACGGTAGAGCACAGTGAAGCAGAACAAATGGGGTCAATAGTGAGACTGCAGGATGTCAGTGGAATGTGTCTCTTGCTAGTCTACAATATTTGCTGCACACACTTTGAGGGTCCAAAATGATGAATCTGCTGGCACACTTCAATCACTAGGTTGTCATGTTAGCCTTAAGCCCACTGCATTATGGGGATTGTGATCTCATGAAACTGTGGTTTTGGCAGGTATTGGAGCTGTTGGAAGGCAGTGAGATCTCGCAAGATCAATGGAAGATCCCCGAGGAAGAAGACGAACAAGAGTTTGGGGGCTTCGATGATCTCGATGATGACGATGACGACGATGATGATTGCGATACTCCATCCACGTCTTCGACGGGCAGCTCCCAACCACAGTTCTCATAGATAGCCCATTTGTGTGGGATGATGAGAAGCAATGTAGCGTATTAGCACTGCAACGTTGATATTATCTTAAACACATGCAGCTTGGAGACAAGTGGAGAAGAGGTTGTCTGCGCAGAACGCCATCACCGGACTCTCTTCCATTATTTGCTCAATTGGGAAGAAGGAAGATGAAGCAGTTTTTGTGTAGGTGGCATTTTTTGTCCAGCTTCGAGACAGACAAGATTAGTAGAGATGCTTTGGATGGTAGGAAGCTAAATGATTGGTTGAGGTAAGGTTGGATTTTGCCCACCTACTGTGGTGGGTTGGACAGGAAAGGAAGAAGAAGAAGAAGAACAACAACAGCAGCAGCAATGGCATCAGTGTGTTGGAGTAGTGCATAAACCAAAAAGCTTTGATGAGGAGGAAGTTGACATGGATCCAGTGACAACGTTCTCAAGGAAGACAGGAGGTATCTTCTCATACCAACCTGGACCTGCTCTATCTAAGACAAGTTGCAGAATAATGACCTCCCAACAGCTGAAGGTGATGAATGGCCAAGCTGGAAACTCACGGATTGTTTGGGATCAAGAATTATTATTGTTTGGCACTTTCATATTCCCACGCTAACATTAGAATGAGTAAATGATACATTTAATGTATGACCTCTGCAGTTTCTGAAGCATAGGCCAATTCAAATCTGCCTACCATTCTTGGAGCTCAACCTAACTCTCAAACACATGGATGAGAGTTACAAACAATGCCAACAGCAGTGGCGTGCAGATGTTTGAAATAATGTTGAGCTTCCCATACAAGTTACAAGGACATGTGATTGATGAGAGATAGAGATAAGGAAGGTGGTGAGATCTTCCAAACTCTTGTGATTCCCATTGATGCATGCACTGGCACTGAGAGTACACTTCTTTGACCTAAACAGTGCTCTTCCCTAGAAGAACTCTCTAGTCCAAGACTTTGAATCTCTACTGACAAACCTCAGGGACACCTGAGAGATCTGATCAAGCTGTATTTTTTCTTGTACAGTTGTTCTGCATCTTTGCATGACAGCTTCTCAGTCAAAGCATAGTTGGCACAGCACACACAAATCAATACTGGGAACATGAGAGCTCCTGATGGATCTACAGATTGATAGATTTCATTTGAGGCAATGCACAGTTGTAAATTGTTGCATCCAAGACACCCATTGCATCACCAAAGAACCCCACTCTGACAAGTCAACTGAAGGATGCATGCATTGCTGTATTCACAGGAAACTTGGCTGAGGGGGTTACTGATGCATAGGGTGGACCTCCTGTGCATGCATCATTGCATGGTCCAGACCATACCCAATGCAGACACAAGCATTGGCATCAGAACAAGCTAATATTAGTAATTGTTATTGGAAGAACTCTATTTTGTTCTATTATTGTTGGAAAAATTAGAGCTGAAAAAGATATGGTTGGCAGAGATTCAATAGTTTTGATTGATTGATTAGGACAATGATAAATATAACAGAATACTTGGGCACAAGGAATGATTTGGACCATCTTCTTGTGCACCTCATTCAATTCAGGGGGTGGGCAGAACAGGACTAACAATTCCAAAACAGATATAGTAAGCCCCACAACTGTGGAATTTATAGTTTTGTCTACATTGAGTACTAAAATATGATATTATAAAATCATTGATGTATCGGTGATAATGAACGATAGTGGCAGGAGAGTGATGACAGACCATTCAAAACATCTAAATGTCATCAAAACATCACAATGCACTCGGAAATAATATAGTGCATGATTCAGAAGCTTTTGCTCTGATCCTTGGTAATGAATAATGAGAGTCATGAGGAGACAAACACCTCTAAGAAGCTACTGCACAGCATCAGGGTTCATATTAGAAACATTTCCAATTCCTCAGCTTCCTTGGTGAATATAAGACAGGAAGAAAAAGTCGGCTAAATTGCTGCATCACCCACTGTACACATTGCAGATGTGAAAGTATTGCAAAATCTTGCCATCTTTGGCCAAGTACTAACAGAAAGGTTCTCATGAACACCTAAAATTTGTGTGACCTAATGGTACAGTAGACATTCTCCCCATGCTGCAGGAGGTGATGTTTGATAAGTTGAAATTTCCATTGCAGGACTAATATGGAACGTTCCTTGGAAGGTCTCTGATGATGTTACTCTTCATCCCAATCTTTGAGCGCATAGCTTCGACTCCATGCCGGTTCATCTCCCTCAGAACTCTCATCCCCACAATCTTCTCCTTGTATTGCACTGTTGCCAAGTCCATCCTCTGTTTCCTGCAGCATCATAACTTGTATTATTGCAAGCTGTTATGCTGAGTTGTGCAGTTTGTGGTTCTAGAATTTATCTTTCAGCCAAAAGCTTTCATTTGTCAGACAACTTGAGTAGACCACAAGAAAACCATAAGCTGACATAATTCATTGCTACTGGGAATAAGCAGAGACTTGCACATGGAGTTTGTGTTACTGACACAAGCTTTCTTAATTTTTCAGCAACAATAAAATTAGGATCAGCTTATTCAGACCAGAAAAGGTCAAAAACATTGTTTAGATACAGATAGTATAGTGGCTAAAAGAAACCACAATCATAGTCTGAAATTAAACAAAGGTCCACATCTGGAAGCCAATTACCTCTTGCAGACAAATAATGGGATTCATGCTGATTTCCTGATACCTTAATTAATCGAACAAAGAATGCAGCTTAACTAAGAAAAGCTTCACAAGAATGACAACAGAAATGTCAACAATAACATTTCTGTTATTGTTGCATAAATATGTTACCTCTTTATGCCATTCATGCTGATTTCAAAGTTATTATTCATTTTGTATCAACTTAATCTAAATAAGCAAGCAGATCCAAGCTTTTTCAGGCAGAGACAGGAAGTGAAACAAGCACCATAAAACTTGTTCCTTCATCATATAGTATTTGACAACTAAGCACCATGTACAACCATCATATCATAGGCTTGTTCATAAAATACTATAGAATTTTTACTAATCAATACATATCTATGGAGTCAAGATACAGAGGATGCAGGTACCTTGAAGCCAATGAAAGGGCTAATGCAAGGTCTCTTGGCAGTAATAACGAAGAAATTCCTGCTGTCCTACAGCTTGAATGAGAACCCCATTCTCAGTTTTCCGTGTAATGATAGGGTCAGATCCCCCACTCCCAAGTTCAACATTGTTCCTCATGTCACCTGATACCACCAACTGCTTACCATCCTCATCAACATAACTACAAAAAAGGGGACACAATAATCAGATTCCAAAAAATCTTATTATGTCAGATAAAAATCAAGTAATGTGAATGCGAATCTAAAACCGTAGGGACTCGTATTAGAAACTAAAACATGCTTAAATACTACTCTCATGCATAAGTTTCATTGCTGAAAAACAAGTAGTCATCATTATGTAACTACAGATTGTATCATTCAGAATGTCTCTTGAGGTAATTATCTTCCAAGTTCTAAACATTGTCTGTGCCTTTGGAGCTTAATGTAAACAGAAGCCTATGAAGTAAAGATAATGAGCACACAATAATTTTGTACACAGGATAGATACTAATGAACTGGTTTGCGGTTTCAGAATAATTCCAACTTGACTTACAATTTCTCTAGTGAAATTTGGGACTCTCTACAAGTGTTATATGCTTGCACAGGGTACATGAATTTTGAAAGCAACATTAGCAATCTGGAAAGGAAAAAAACAAAAGTCACTGTTGCAGTCAAGAACCTGCTCCATTTCTACACAAAACCTCCAATTCTTACCTCTACTCACAGATGGCTAAAGTAAAGAGAATGGAAACATAGACAAATTAGAATAAAAACCTGCTGCTATAATCATACAAGTCTTCCAAATCACTGTCTTCATCATCACCTCCATCTCCATAGCGCAATGTGCAGTGACCCTTAGCAATCATATGCTTGCTTCCTCACAGCCTCCAAACTTTGGAAAGGATGGGCGTCTATCATTACAGTACAAGCAAGTGAAATCCCTTTTGACCTGATAGAAGAGGAGAAGAGGATGTTTTCAACCAGAAAAGCTACAATAGCAAAGTATTGAGCATAAAGAACACAAAGAAGACATCCACCTTTAGACCAACACGCATAAGGAGACCCTTGGGATCCTTCAAATATTCAACATCAGGAATGAAAAATCCATGCTTCTTTTGCATATGGACCATACAGCTTTCTATGCTTTCATGCTTTAAATCACAAATGAAACAGCAAGAAGCATCCAAATCAACAAGTGGTTTTATTGTGGAAATTCCTGCAGCCGAAGGACCCAACTCCTGTGATGCTCTAAAAATATGAGTTGGTAATTTAAGATGCTGAGCATGAGCCCCTTAGCCACAAAGAGCACATCCATATAACACAGGTGTGGCACTCAGTGTCTCAGCTAGAGCTGACTGCCTAGCCTGAAATGACTCTTCTGGTACTCCTTGGATTCCTGCAACCAGATGCACATCACACCCACAATTACCTTTGAACTATTGATCTACCGGAAACAACATAATCACAAACATAAATTGGGATACAGTGTACATATAGAATAAACCACAAACTTGAGAAAGAATCCAACTAACCAATAACCATTACAAGTTCCATTAATTTCATCCTTTTTGAGGTTCTTCTAGGAAGTACTCCACTTAAAAGAACCAATTGAATCATAATTACCACCCAAACCCAAAGATGAAACAATTAGATGAAGAACTAAATGAAAAGGTCACAAACAGCTCGGTGGTAAGAAAAAGATGACAAATTTCTTATCTAACACAAAAAGATAGGGCACAAGAGGAACAAATATCCTCAAGAAAACGAAAGAATCGGGCACCCGATAGGCAAATACCGGGATATCCCAAGCACCAAGAAGCTAGTAATTAGAACTAGGTACCTTTCGTTCTCGAACTCCTTATTGCAAGCATTGCATGCCAGGACCATCAGTACCCCTCTCGCTCTCGCTCTCTCTCTCTCTCCCTCTCTTGGAAGACGGTCATGAGACATGGTTGAGATCGAATCGGACACGACATGAGTTGCGCAAGAAGCCGCAAATCCACCACCGGCTCTAATTTG